TGCAACATTGCACTCCAGCCTGGGCGACAGAGCGAGACTCCGCCAAAAAAAAAAAAAAAAAAAAAGGTCAAAGCTCTCAGAACTCCAAAGTTATTCCAAATCTCCAACTCCCACACCTCTCCTCCCTCTCCTACCCCAGACTAGGGCTGAGGTCCAGAGGGGAAATGCTAGCCCCAAACTACACAGCAAATCTGGGGCAGAACCGGGACTGGGACCCCGGTGTCCCATGCCCTAATCCAAGGCCCTTGCCCCAACCACGCCAACGCGGAGCCTCGACCCACCTGACCGGCAGGGCGAGGGGCTGCGGCGGACCCGGCCCGGGGAGGTGGTGGTAGAGTCTTGCCTCCTGCTCATGGCTCTGGCCGAGCTCCTGGAACATGGAGCTGAGGCCGGCGACCGTGCCCTTCTGGATAGCACGGAGCGAGTGGCGTCGGTACTCGTCTCGGGCGCGCTGGGCTCGGCGGCTCCTCTCCTCATCAGCCGCCTTTGACCGGCGCACTGGAAACAGGAAGACAGCGCGTTAGCCCAGATCCGCAGCCCAGGCAGTGCACTAGGCCAGCTGGGACAGGATGTATTCGGTTGGTGCAAAAGTAATTGCAATGTAGTGGCAAAAAATCGCGGTGATTTTTGCACCAACCTAATAGTCCAAGAACCTCAGGATTCACCTGGCTGCAAGGAAGCTCAGAACCCAGAATCACAGGCAGGCCCCGCCCACCCCTAGCAGCAGCCCTAGAGCAAGCCTGTCCCTACAGAGGTAAAGATACCCTGACAGTTTAGGGTTGTCCAGTTGTTCCTGTGACGCCATTCTAGAATGGCCAAGCCACCTTGGAGTGGAAATTTCCATCTCCCTATGTATTTCTTCCTGGGAGTGTCCTGCTCAGAGCAGCTCCTCAAATCCTCTGCCCACTCAGCTCACCTGTTAAGGTGGCCAGCATCTCCAGACAGCACCACCGTCACCCTCATTGACAGTGCCAAGCCCTGGGTTTGGTGCCTTCCCTGCATTATCTAAGGGACTTCCCCCAACCACCCAGGGAGGGCACATTACTATTTCTGCTTTATGGGTGAGGAAACCAGCCTCTGAGAGGTTAAGTAACTTGCCCAAAGTAAATCAGCTAATAAGGAGCAGAACCTGGACAGAAACCCAGGTGTGCCCGGCTCTCTAAAACCCACACAGTTCTTTCCCCCCTCCATGGCCCCATCACTCAAGCATCTACCTTCGGTTTAAAACCCTGTGTATCTGACACCAGAGCTCTTTCCTACTAAAAAACAAAGAAGCATTGAAAGACCATCTGGCCCAACCTCCTCATGTTATTCATGTGGAAACTGAGGCCCAAGGAAGGACAGCAATTTGCCCAACTGGGTAAGTGGACCAGGCCAGGAACCATCCTTCCTCCTACTGCAAGATGAGTTGTTGGAAACACTAGTGTCCCAGTTCTGGAGCCCCTTCTTGGTTTCCCATGACCTTGACAGCTGGTAGGTGAGTGTATGGGCGGGGAGGGGGAAGAGGATCTTTTGATAACTCCAACAGCTTACAAGACTCCAAGACACCCAGCTCTCTAGCCCCCTGTATTCACATATACATGTATTAATATAAGTATATATATTCATTTTCTTGAGATAAAGTCTCATTCTGTCACCCAGGCTGGAGTGCAGTGGTGCGATCACAGCTCACTGCAACCTCGACCTCCTAGGCTCAAGCAATCCTCCCACCTCAGCCTCCTGAGTAGCTGAGACTACAGGTGTGTGCCACCATGCCCATCTAATTTTTTAAATTTTTTGCAGAGACAGGGCTTCACTATATTACCCAGCCTAGTCTTGAACTCTTGTTCCCACCTCGGCCTCCCCAAAGTACTGGGGTTATAAGAGTGAACCACCATGCACGACCTCTTCCATCTTTTTGTGCTCCTCAAGGAAGGGTCCTGTCTCAGCCAAGTGGCCTTGAAAAGATATCTGTGCTTCTAAATCTCAAAAGGGAGGTCGGGGACCAGGAAAATGCGGGAAAGGGAACAAAACCCATTACAGGCAAATTCTGGAATTAAAACCAATTATTTTGTAGTCTCTGCATCTTGGCAGGCCCCTATCTGCCTCTAAAATCCAACTATTTTGCAAAAACCTCTTGCTGGCTTTGTTCTTCTAATTGTACCAGGCTAATGCCCCAGCCCCAGTGGGTCACCTTCTCTTCTCAGAGTAAAATCTTAGTCTGTTTCTACTCTAATGCCACTCAACACATGCATAGCAGGCACCTACCAAGAACTGCACTGTTAGTATTCAAAGGTCAGTTGCCCTGTTCCTGAAAGAAAGCATTTCTACTTCACAAGTTGTCAAAGAACGCTTTCTGGGAACAGAACATCTCCCAGATCTGAGGAAGGCAGCATGAAGTCTGTCCCTCAGAAGGTATTTATGGAAGTGGCCCCATGGGTGTCCCATGCAGAATATCCACTAGGCTGTGAACTCCACGAGGGCAGGTGGAGAGTCTGCTTTGGTCTATTCATTGCTGTATTCGAGTAACACGGTCGGCAGGTGATACATATTTTTGTATGACTGATGGAACTCAATTAAGTATTTAGCGCTGCACTAGGCCCTGAGTTGGATACAGAGATAATAGTGAAGGAAATCCTTCTTTCAAGGCACTCAGAGGCAAGCTGGGAAAATAAGACCAACAAATATCTCTAGCATAATGAGGAAAGTAGTGAGCAGCATTTAAAAAAGAGACCAATGAAGTACTGTCAGAGTTTAGGGGCAGCAGCAGCCTCGCATGCTACTAGGGAGCCAGCAGTCATCACAGGAAATAATTTGACTGGGTGTGGGAAGATCAATAAGAGTTTTCCAGAGAAAGAAAAGGGAGGAGGCCATTCCAGAGAGAAAACTGAGGTTTCAGTGGTTTGTCACTCCTTATGTTACAAGGCTCCAAGACACCCCTCCCTCTGGCCTTCCATTTTTTTGTGTTCTTCAAGGAAGGGTCTTGTGTCTGCCAAGTGGCCCTGAGAAGACATCCATATGTTGTGGCTTCTGAAACTCAAAAGGGAGGTCTGTAAGTTCCAGACCCTAAGAACACCATGATACCTGCCTTGTATTGTGACGAAAGGCTCCAATAAGGTCAGGGGGCCCCGGGATGGCCTTTGCAGACATTTGACTGCAAACTAAAAACTAGAAGCTCGTGCCCTACAAGGACCATGACTTTTGGAAGATTACAGCCCCTGAGAGACAGTGACATTCAGTGACAGACAGGCAGGCAGGTTGCAGAAGGAAATTATATGCAGACTAGGGAGCCGGGTTTTTGGAGTTCAGACAGGTGGGGCCCTGAGCCATTTGTCACACAAAGACTAAACCCATTCTCCTAAAGCCCAGCTCTAATCTTACCACTTTCTTCCTCAAAAGCCTTCAGGGGCTCCCACTGCACACAGAATAAAATACAAACACCTTGGCCTGCCAGGTAAGACCCTGAGAAGTGCCCTGCCTACTTTCCTTACTTTCTCAGCTCAGTGGGCTCCTTCCCCAGCACACACAAACACACACACACACACACACCCTCACATCATTCTGCACTGTAGCTCCACCACACTCCCACCAAGCTACAAGCCTGCCTCTGTGCAGCCGTGTTCACCAACTCAGACCAACCGGGTCAGCACAGAGATCTCAGGCCCACCCTACTCCCCTGCCCAGACCGAAAAAGCTCAGTGTCCTACAGAATTCAGATGATCCAGTTACATCCTGCAGAGAAACTCCATGCTTCAAAGCAACATTAATTTGTAGTAATCCCTTGTGTGAAGAGAACAATGTCCCTGAAAATTAATGAATAATCCTATAATATGGGGAAAGGCATCAGTAAAGATTTGAATTGTATGTGAATGTGGATGTATTTAAATTCTGCTCCGTGTGATCTTGGGCTACCTGAATTACCTTATCTACACCTTCCTTCCTTGCCTATAAAGTGGGGGCCTGACTGAGTTGCTTTGAGACGTACATGGGACAGTACATAGCAGGCTTGAAAAGCCCTGGCATGGGCTAGGTTTATTAAATATTGTCTGTTATTGTCGTGTTTGCTGTGAGATAAAGAGGCTGAAATGGCGCCTTTAGAAAGAGTCCGTCCCTGGGTGGAGGTGGGGAAGTGATGTGAGAGCGGAGGGGATGTGTGGAGTCACAGGCTCCTGTCAGAGAACAGAAAAAACAAGTGTGAGTAGGAAAAGCCTCAGACCCCTGGGGAGGGAAAACAGGCAGCCGAGGTGCTGAAAGGAATCACACAGGCCTTTTGTGACTCGGCCTGCTGGAGCCATGGTCCCTTGGTGGAAGAATGGGCTTGGCACTCAAGATGAGGTAAGCAAAGTTCGACCACAGCTAAACTTGGGCCTAGAGAAAGGGCTCTCAACCCTTATCTGAGGCTTCTGAGGTCGGCAGCCAACCACTCCTGTGGTCCTGAACCCTGCGAGCAATGCCTGATGGCTGCCAACAGTGACCCCCTGTGGCCTCCAGGAGCCACTGCAGGAGTTCCTTAAGACAAGAGCACTTCACACCCCTATGCATGTTGTAATGACCGAGCTTGGGGAACCATAAAGCCCCCAGAGATTCCTGAGCAATTCAAGAGGAAAGAGGACCCTAAGCAGGACATGAATCGGCCACATGGGAGCTCAGGCTAGCATTATTCCAAGTTATAATACCAAAAATATGTGCCACCTAGAGTTTAAGGAGCACTTCAAGCCAGCTATGTCCAAGGAGAAACTGCACGATGTCCCATTCCCATGAAGGGATAGAGAAAGCCTTTCGTCTGTCTTCTCCTTCAGCTGTCCTCCCAGCCCAAAATTCTGCTGTGCCCACTCCACTCCCAGTCCAGACTCTACCCCTACAAGCCCCTTCCGGCTCTACCTGTCTCAAGCCTACAGCAGTTTAGTATCACTGACCCCGACTCTGGTGCACACTCTAAGAGGAAAGCAAATGGAACCCACATCACTGGACCCCAAGCTGGGCCTGAGCCCACATTTCCCACTCCGCTCTGTCAACAACCTGGCAAGAAGTGAGACAACCAGTGTGCAGATTGTTGGTTAAAGGCCACAACCAGAATGACACAGGTCAAGGAGGCAGAGGTGAACACAAGTCCCTCTGATGACTCCAAAATCCTGCTTAATCTAACCTAGTATCCTATCCAAAATCCTCCAAAATCTAACCTAGTAACTGCAGCAATGATAAATGTCCAGTTTTTACAAATAATATCATTTCTCAAGTCAGGCTGGCTCATCTCTAAATCTCTGGGCAACTAGATGTTATCTAACTCCACACTCCTACAAGTTCACAGTTGAAAAACTATGAAATGAATTTCTCTGCCTGATGTATTCAGAGTCTCAGAAGCCAGAGCTCTGCTGAATAACTGACTGAATTCTCTGTTGAACTGAATAACTAACGGTATTCAAGTGATACTAAATGGGATAATTTCCTTTTTTTCTAACTTGGAGAATTTAATTTGGGTGTTTTATCAAAAACTGCTGTTCCCCCATAGATTAATGGCC